TAAAAGCTTTATATTAGTTTACACATGGTTGCCAACTTGTACGATTAATGAGAAAAATTTTCTTAGTAACATTTATGTTTAGCTGTATAAAAAAACTAAAAAAAAAATTCTTATCTACTTTTAAAGATAGTATTTTAAACATGTATGTGGATCTAGTTAGGCACTGTGCTTTTCAGTTATTTTTTCTTTCTTTTCTTTTTTGAACTAATTTTTTAGTTTCTCCTTTCTACTTAATTTATATCTGCTCAACCAATTAGTGCTTTTCTAGCAAAAGTTCGGATTGTCATTTATGGTTATGGGATGGCCAGGTTTCCACTAAGGCCAACGTGCTTCGTTTCACCAAGATGAAAGTTAATTATGAAATATGTATGCTACTAGTTTTTATTTATTTACTTTTGAATAAAAAAAGAACCTTATCCGACCATAGTCAGGTACGGGAACATATGTATTAAGTTTAAAGCTTTCTCTTAAAACTTTCTCGTTTCATTTAAAACTTTCTCACACAAATGAATTCAAGATATTTAAATTAAAACGTATTTTACAGTTCATACTTTTCTCAAATCATTCTTTTTTTCAAAAATGTGTTACTAATATGTAAATATCAATAATTTTGATACTATAAAACGCAGATTTATTTTAATGTAAATTAATGTAATTTATTTTAATGTTCAAAATTCGATTCCTCAGAAACTATTCGACAGATTTCACTCAAATTTTGTCTCTTGCCTTATAAAATTGCATTCTTTAAAATGAAGTAAGAAATTGTGTATCTTACAATTCAAAAGTTTTTCGATTATTATAAAATAATAAATGTTAACTAAAAATTATATTTAGCATGAAACTATCTTTAGAAAAAGGAATTTTATAATTGCTCGCAGAAATTTTTCAATTCGCTTAAAAAATTCTCGATATGTAATCGAATAGATCGTGTAATGCGCAAAAATAAAAATTAACCTTAAGGGATCCAAACTTTGGACTGATCACCTGATTTTACCCTACTTCTTAGATTGCTGCTATGCTCTATATTTTAGGAGTCAGAAATCCGAATTCGTCGAAAAATAGGTATTTTAAAACAGAGAAAGTATGTTTTTGTGTCTGATTCCGTAACTTTATATCATCTACACTAATTCATTAGCATATTTGAGGTCATTCTCTCAAATCAATAAGATTGAGTGCTAGAACATGAAGTCAAAATTCTGTCAATAGATCAAAAGTTATTCAGTTTAGCCCGTTTATTTATTTTTTTGCACACTGTACATCCATTTGAAGTAGTATATAACAAAATTGATGATTATAGCAAAAGATTCCTACATTTATATATAGGAAGATAATTTAGCTGATGGTAATCCGTATATATTTGCTTTAATAACTTAAGGAATTAAGATTTAAAGAGGAAAATAAGGAGAAATGATGATAACTTTCTATATTAATATCAGACATAAATAAAAACGCCACTTTGCTCTCTTTCCTATAACTTTGTTAATTTAAAAAGCAGAAAAATGAATTTTTGCCGGTATAATGGAAAGCAAATAATTTTTAACTAGTTGTAAACAAAGAATTTTTGTATCTTAAATATAAATATTTTTAAGGTATCGTAATATCTCAATATATCAAACTTTTGCTGTATTTAAAATTTTCAAAACAACGGAATGAAATTGTGATTTAGAGAAAACATATTTGCGCTTATGGAAAGTGTATTAAAATAATACTAAACTAGTATATGTCGCAAAAATTTCCAGAAAAAAATTACGACATTAATTTTTTATATTTTCTTTACAATTTAATAGATTATTTTTATTTTAATACGTTTTTTAAGTTTTAAAGCATATTAAGTAGATTAAGTATTAATCGTTCATTTGCTAATTAAAAGGAAAGGGAATAAACCATGCAATGTACAGTGTGCCAAAAAAAATTAATCACCATGAATAACTTTTGATTTAATGATTGGATCTTCACATTCTAGGACTCTACCTTAATGGTTCATGAGGTTTGACCTCAAATATGCAAATTAGTTACTGCGGATGATGTTTTAGATTACAAAATCAGACCCAAAAAGAAACGTTCTTTCTCTGAAATAATATACCTCTTTTTTTGGATTTCTGACCCTCAAAATTAGGGGTCAGTCGCAATCTGGGAAGCATGATCCACACATTTTGGGCAGGAGAGAGATCCAAAATTTAGACCCCTTAATGTTAATTTCGCTTTTTGCGTGTTTCGCCATATTTCAAGAATTTTTTAAGCGAATTGAAAAATTTATGCACACAATTACAACATTCGTTTGTTCAAAAATAATTCAATAAAAAATTAAATTTTAGTAAATATTTATAATTTTTTATTATTTAATTTATTAATAGTCGAAAAAAATTTGAATTTTTAGCTATACAATTTTTTACATCATTTTAAAGTACGTAAATTTACAAGGCAAAATACAAAATTTGAGCAAAATCGATCCAATAATTCCTAATAAGCCGAATTTTAAAGAAGTCATTTATATAAAATTCAATTTCTCAAAAAACTATTAAACCGATTTCTCTCGAATTTTGTATTTTGTCATGCAAAATTATGGAACAAATTATCTACCTTACAATTCAAAATTTTTTATGCCATTATTAAATAAAATATTAAAAAATAATAGATACTAACTAGACTAGATAATAGATTACTAAAATTTAGTTTTTGTGTGGAATTATCTTTGCATAGGCGAATTTTATAACTGTGTGCAAAAATTTTATGATTGCTTGCAAAAAATATTCAGTTAAAAAGTTCGAGATATGGCGAAATACACAAAAAGTAAAATTAACAATAAGGGGTCCAAACTTTGGATCCCCCTCCTGATTAAACTATGCCGACCATATTTCCCAGATTGCGGCTACCCCTATATTGCGAAGGTCAAAAATCAGATTCCGTTGAAAAAAGGCTGTAAGAGAAAGTGCGTCTTTGTGTCTCATTTCGCAACTTAAAGTATCATCTACACCAATTAATTAGCATATTTGAGATCACCCTCCTCGAATCATTAAGATTGAATCTTAGAACGTGAAGATCCGATGATTATATCAAAAGTTATTCTAGTTTATCCGTTTTCAGGCACATTGTATATCTACAAAGCAGAAAAACATTAATTCTTAATGATTATGCGGTATTATTTTTTCTTTTCCATTTCATGGAAAATTCTTGCCAAATAAATAAATAAAATTTACAATATAAAAAAATAAGGCAAATCGAGAGCAGTATACGAATTACATAGGGATTCGAACCCAAGTTATATCAATGGTAAGTGAGCGCTAAATCATTCTGCTAATTCTTAAACTGTTCTACCGTAAAGTGGTCGACTTGGCGGGCAGGTCGTTGGATCATCCTCAGGGATGTTTCCCAGACTGTCGCCAATATCCCATTGTGCAGCTCTAGTGTAACGTAAATCAACTACAACAACAACAGCTAATTTTTTTTTTTTTTAAATTAAAAAAAAATTAAAAAACATTTTTTCCCAATAAGTAGGAAAATTATTTCTCTTGGTTTAGCACATGCATTTTTAACCAAAGAATAACTGAGCACCACCTTATTATAGCTCATAAGACAACTTGGTAGGTATAGGTGTTACAAGTAGTCTATTTTAATATTTTAGCTCATATCTGAGTAGTTATAATTAAATTTATTAGCATACGTGAATATATACACTATACTAAGAGCAAATTTTTAAAAAAAATGAGAAGAAAAAAACTTGATACTTTATTTCTTTACTTTATTTCTTCAAAATAATTTAAGAATGGAATTTTTAACGTTAAACGGTGTGATATTTTTCAAAATTATTTTCTTCATTGAATGTAGAGAAAGCGTGCATACATTATAATCAGTCCCAAAAAGTGTGGTCACGCGAGGACGATGGGGTCAGAACTGTCTTCTTGTCTCCCTCTATTCCATAAGGGTGTTGAATAATTTTCCATATGGACACAAACAGAAGACTTGACTCTCAGAATTTTCTGAGAAAAAGATTGATCAGGAAGTTGGTGGTAAATTCTTAGTTAAAAGAACACCTTCTCGCATGCTCTTAATATTTATTCTCATTTACAAATAAATAAATGAATAAATTAAAGTTTTTAAGATTATAATTATGTCTCTCTGCAAAACAGTAGCCTTTTTCGAACATTTTTTTATGTTCGCCCCAATGGGGGAGTGGGAAGAAAACGATGCCCGACAGGGGTGCAATAGCTTGGTATATAATATAACTACTCCACGAGACAACAATTGTATAGTATTACAACTGTATAGTGTACTACTCCACGAGTATACAATGTAACTACTACATGAGGGAACCCGAAGAGAAAAGGTAAAAAATCCTTGTTATTAAGGGGAAAAAAAATTCTTTAACTTTTTATTTTTTTAATAAATTTGGGGTTAAATTTATTTACTCAGAATTTAAAACGCATCTAATATTGTTTTTTGTATTATTTAGTAAATAAGTTATAAGAAACGGTTGCAAATAATTATTAAAACAAACAATAAGACCTGTTAAATAAACAAAAACCATAATAAAATCAAATTTCATGCTACTGCTATTACATAAAATAAAATATGTAGTCAATTTACGTCATCTTTGATACACAAATAATACATAATTTCGAAACAACTTTCAAATAAATTTTACTCATGAAGAATAAGAAAACAATGCATCTTTTTCTAAAGATTTTTTTAAGAGACTTCAGGAACTAATTGTGTTTTCTCTTTAAATGTGACATTTTAATTCCAAACCCATTTAATCCAAGCGATCAAGTTAAGTAATAAAAATAATTAAATAACTTTGAATAAAATAAACATCATTTCAAATACATATAAATAAATAGACGGCTGTATCTAAACATTTGAAAAACATAAAGAGCTGCAAGATGTTAATTATGTGCTTCATATACTGATTATTCTTTAAATGTGACATTTTATTATCAAAAATCTTTGGTCCAAGTCATCAAGATAAACAATAGAGATAATAAATGAAAAAATAATCATACCCTATATATAAAACCACTTCGACAACAGAAGATATTGATCAAACAGCCTTATTACTTTTAATTTAAAGATAAGCTTTATCTTGAATCGTTTTCTTCGGCATCCTTGGAGATTCAAAGCGATAAACGAAGTCAGAAAAAAAAATGCATCTCCAAGGCATTTGTCCAATGAAACATAAGGATCCAGCTCTTTTTTTCTCTGTGGGATGTGCCTAGCACCTTTATTGGTGGTTGTTCAAAATGTGGGCGGTCTTAAGTCACCACAGATATGCAAAGTTTATCTCAGTATAATCCCTGATTGGAAGCGATAAGAAAACTGATATCATCAGCCACATGTTCTAGTTAGAAGGAAATCTTCATATAGTTTTGAGAAACTTAAAGAAATAGGGAAGGGGTAAAAAAAAAAAAAATGCGAAGTGTTCTGTTGTGAAAAAAATAGGAAGAACTATGTTAGAGTTCGCAAACCATGAAACAAGACCCCCTAGGGGGAAGTGCATTTATTCAGGATAATCAACCATTTATTGTCGACATTTATTTACAAGTTCCAAATTGAAAAGATTGAAAATATAATAAATGGTAGTAATACATTGCGGTTCAAACATAAGGACGATCCTGTCTCTTAAAAAGCAAACGATAACGTAATTTTCTAAACATTGTATTGGTTTTTATTTAGGCAATCACTTCTATAACATATTTTAAAAGTAAATGTTACTTATACCTCAGAAATTCTAATTAAATATTTAAAATATTTATCATGCATTTTGGCACATAAATACATTTAACGACACTATTACCTTTTATTAAAATTTCCAAAACAGACTTAATTTACAGCAAATGTTAATTTCATTCTCCAAAAATATCGTTTTCATTTATCTTTCTTCTAAAAAAAAAAGGTTTTTTACCGTCCGAGATTTAGTTTTAAAAATGCCGCAGAGAATTGGATAGCTGCAAGTGAAGTCATTGTAGGTAAATCGTGGCATTTGTAGATTCAGAGACCAATAAGAATCGACGTTTCTCCTGACGTTGCTTAGCAATCAAATCAAATGAAATCTGATTTAAATCTCATGGTCAGGTATAATCATTTCACTTGTACTCGACTTGCATCAAGTACCCAATTGAAAATATATATATAAGTTCAAAATGAAGATAAAGCAAAGGAAAATTACAGACATATGGAGAAAAAAATAATGGGGGGGGGGATAACAATTAAAAAAAAAATTAAGGGAAGAAGAAAAAAAAAAGATAATTTTTTTTTATAAAATCCGGAAAATAAAAGATATAATCTTTTTACGCGATCCCACACGATTATATCCGCAAAAAATATATCCATAATATATATATGGATTTGTTAAAAAAAAGAGGAGCCAAACCCAAAATAACTCCACGCAATAAAATGCATATCATTCAATCGCAATAAAATGCATATCGCTTCTCTGAAAGAAATGTTTACTCTGCAAATTGCTAGTGAGTATGATAAAAATATTTCTTAGTTAAAACTGTTTTAAGAATTTTTAATCTATGTGATTTCACTAGATTTATAAAAACCGAAAACCGCATTTAGCAAAACATCATAAAATCGTACATAAAGTAGCTGTTATTAAATGGATACCGGATAATATCAATTCGAAAAGAATAATATTTTCCGAGGAAAAACTCTTTAATTTATACGGACGGTTCTAGTGACTACTGGCATAACGTACGTAGAGGAAAAAACGTGGTTTTAGTCCTCATTTAAAAGGAGGTTCTGTTTTTTGCTCTGTGATGAAATTTCTGCATGTGGAAAAACTGATTTCATCCTGATTCCAATAAAACTATGAACTCTGAAATGTAAGTCGAATCATAAGAATTAGAACAGTATCTGTTGGCATTCAGTTATTCCTTAGGAGGTTTAAACTGTATTATCCAGCAACACCATCTTCTCACACTTCTAAAGGTTTCAAAAAAGTAATCACGGTTACAGCTACTGGTTGGGATTCGTTCTACTCATTTAATCCCTTCAGGACCAGCAGAATGAAAAATAAGCCCTTCCATAGGTCCACATACTCCGAAAGTATACCCAACGTATACTTTCAGAGCCAGACTTAGATTAATTGGAGACCGAGCCAAAAACGTTGTCGTGGGGAGGGGGGGGCATTCTGCTTCACTACTTTAGTAATGAAGAATGGAACTTTATGGAGGTATTTAAAGTTTTCACCTCAATATAGATAACAAGAAAATGGAATAGAACATAAAATAGCTATTAAGTCCCTACCCTCCAATGGTCAGACAAAATATCGTTCTGTCCATTTTATTGATTTTCTGACAATTCTATGCCCATCATGCCGAATGGAGTTTTTTGATTTTGTCATCTAACTACGAAAAATTCATATCTTTGCTGACAGTAGGGCTGAATTCAGTTAAATTTTCGCAATTACGATGGCTTTATTATTAAGCCAATCAGAAGCCCGTATTTTTGTAAACATATCGCATTTTGCGATATGCAAAAATACAGGCTTTTGATTGGCAAAATTTGTCTATCGCAATTGAGACAAATTTAGCTGAATTCCGCACTAGAAAGCCATGGATTTACGAAATATAGATTTTTTGGTGTTCATACGATAGATTAATGAAGAAACTAACATAAAACTGATGGATTTCACACTATACTGATATTTCGTTTAAAAAAAAGTTCATTAAAGAAGGAAACCTAAAATAAACTTTCTATTCTATTCAGGGGCCCCCTCTGATGTGGGGGCCCGGGGCAACTGCCCCGTATGCCCCTGACTTAGTTAGGCTCTGTATACTTTACATTCTCCATCTCCTAACTAATTTGAGAGCACTGTATAAAGATCATGTCCGTATGATCTTGGGCTGTTAGAATCAGAAAAGCTGGTTTTGTCTCGCTTTGTATATATTTTGCAGTGGGCCACGAAGAGTGTATCCGTAATCGTACAGTATGACCCAAATAAAACGAAACCCAGAAAAACGAAACATGGAAGACTGAGAAATGGAATTTTTATGGTGTACATATTGCATGAAATGTTAAAAATGACCTCCATTAAAATTTTTACAAGCATTCGCATGCTAAAAGAAATTATCGAAGACCTAAACCAACATTTGTTGGAAAACGTTTTTGGCCTTTTCTTCAATTTTCGCTCTTAGTTTGGAGATGGTTGTCGGGCAATCTGCGTAAGCAACTATTTTTAAACATTCCCATGGAAAATAGTCTGGAGATGAAAAGTCAGGACTTCAGGGTGGCCACTGTGCACTGCAACTGTAATATTTTAACTATTGCAACTATTATATAGTGCAACTATATTATTTTTAAAATGCTCATTAAACATTAGATTATTTTTAATATTAGTGACCCGGCATATTTTTTGTTTGTTTGATTCACAAATTTTAAACACAATAAAATATTTTGATAAAATTTATTTTACTGGTGCACTTTTATATGTTAATTAAAAAAATTAACCATTGTTTAAAAATTTAAAGTCATATTTGAAATTAATACCTCTGTCTATATATTTATGAACGACAGTGTATAATAATTAAATTTACTTAAAAGATAAAAAAAATATCGATATTCACCATATTATACCAATAGGGTAAAAATATAAGGTGTTTCTTAAAGAAGAGCTTAATATACATTTTTAGAATCCTTGTCAAAACTAAAGTCGAAAAAGTATATTGAAGGGTTGCTAGTTAATATTTAAGAGATGAAATACAAAAAACTCTATTGAAATCCGACAAAGCCTCTTTGAAGGCGTACGAACAGAAAATCAAAATCTAACTTGGAAGTAATCCTTTGAATATGCTTCATATTAAAAAAGTAAAGAGTCAACTGTTAAGAAAAGAAGAAAAAAAATTCAAGAAATATAAAGACATTCCAAGAAATATAAAAAACGAATTTTTAAATAAGGCTTGTTTTGTCCGACACCAGCTAAAATGAGAGCATATACTTATCGCTAATTTAAAGATAGACAATTTGAGAATTTTCTGTATTTTTTTGCAGGGAGGAAATCGTTTGAAACTTGCTTTATTCAAGTGAGAGTCAATTTGAAAGAAAATACAATAATATGCTTACAAATATAAAACGAGAGTTTTTAAATAAGGCTTGTTTTGTCCGACACAGGCTAAAATGAGAGCATATATATATGTAATTTAGAGACGGACAGTTTGCGAATTTTCTGTATTTTTTTTGCAACCAGGAAATTGTTCGAAACTTGCTTTATTTTAGCAAGTGAGCATCAATTTAGAAGAAAATACGAACAGAAATATAAAACGAAATTTTTTAAATAAGGCTTGTTTTATCGGACAAACGCTGAAAGGAGAGCATATGTATCGCCTGTAATTTTTGCAACGAGGAAATCGTTTGAAACTTGCTTTATTTTAACAAGTGAGCGTCAGTTTGGAAGAAAATATAAAACTATGCCAAGAAATATAAATAGAAAATCTTCAAAAAAGGGTTTGTTTAGTCTGAAATAAGCTGCACTGAGAGCTTATGTACATCAGTATGGACTTGAACTTTGATAGTCGCAAACACGGAAAATAGAATTTTTCAAAAATTTATTTGAAAAATAAAATATTAGCTCACTTTTCGAAAAGTGTTGCTAAGTATACCATTTTCACAGCTCTGAAAAAAAAAGTTATACTAGTTTTGAGGAATTATTAAACTGATTTTTAACGTATATCTTATTCCAGTTCAAACTTTTCCTCGCAACTCCTTCAAACTTGGCAACCTTGTGGTAGCTTCAGAGTAGCTGCGCTTAAATTTTAAAATTAGAATAATTATGCAAGAAATAATTTCAATACTTGAAATTGGCGACCCAAATGGAAAGAAGAGAATTTACGATAGTTCCCTAATATGCTGCGCCCTCATTGTAGCTGAGGGACTCAAGCAGAAACAATCTAACGCATACGTAGATTGTGTGCTCATGACAGTTAGAAAACCGAATCCTTCTGTTAAGCTGCAGTAGTATTTATGGGGGAGTTTATAGGAAAAAAAGAACCGTTGTCGAATTTGTTAAGTACGTTGTTGAAGAGCATTATTTTTAGTATCAAACGCTAGAGAATATTTTGTTACGTTATATATATATAATTATAAATCTGCTTAAAAACAACCATG